TATTCAAACGTTATTTTAATTGTTAATATTATTTATTTATTTTATTCTTTGGCCAGGGCGACTTAATTTATACTGTTAAATTATATTGTTTTATATGATGTTATTTATTTATGTTTGTGAGCCGCCCCGAGGCTTCGGCGAATGGGGCGGCATAGAAGTTCCCTAAATAAATAAAATAAATAAAAATCAATGTAAGAAGAAAGTGTCAGGGGAAGGGGGGACTAAATAATGGAAATAAGTGTGTCAAGTATTTCCCAGAGAAGGAAATAATGCTTCCAGTGAAATCATCTGAACTAAATACAGGTAAAATTAATGATATGCTAGGACAGTGGTTTTCAAACCCTGTTTAGAAAAACTTTGATGTGCTGCCATCTGGGGCAAAACCACTTGGAACCCCTTTCCAGGTAAAGGGATAAACTAGACTGGCACTGACAGGACTGGTGCTAGGATCTTACTTCAACCTTCAGTGTCCATCACTGCACTTGGGAGCATGCAGGGAAGGTTATATGGCAGGCATGACATCATTCTGATGTGATGCCACTCCTTCCCCCAGCATCTGCCTAACCGTAGGGCCTGCCCTGAGTGGCCCCACATGAAAAGGTCAGTAAGGCTGGGCAAAGGAAGCTGCAGTTGTGAAGGGATGTTGCAAGTATATTTTCAGTTAATGCTCAAGTCAACAGGGAGGCTCAACAGAGAGCTAGAACCCAAAATGAGTTCTAGAGTGCATCTTGGAGTTCTCTGCAGTGAACAGTGATTCTGCGGCAGAGATGGAAGGGTTCCTTGAAAGTCCAGCTGATATGGATGCATCCTGTAGTGTGGATGTCAGAGTGCTGGTTTAGGATCGGGGAACCGGGTTCAAATCTCCACTTGTCAATGTAACTGGCAGGGTGATCTTGGGCCAAGCACTATTTGTTTTCCTTGTGATCTGTCTTTACATCACAGGGTGGTGGTGTGGATAAAATGAGAGCGAGAACCCTGCATGTGACCTTGGAGAAGTGGTGGGATACAGATGTAATGAATGAATGAAAGCCTGATGAAATCCTAGCCTAAGCAGTTAGGACTTTTATTAAGGAACTCATAAAAAGAACGTGATTTAGAAATTAAATGGATAGCAGGGCATATTAAAATCAGGGATATCAGGGCAGCTATAACAAAGAGGCAAAAGCTACTGAAACACAGTGGAAAGAGGAGAAACTGCTGTTGGTTGGCAAAAAACAAGTTTTCACAGAGAGTTGAAAAACTAGGGAGATGATGCGGAGCGTAGCAGGTAGAGCATTGCTTGAGATGAATGGTCTGTGCCGTACAGAAGTTCCAGTTGTAATTGTAAGAAACTTTTCTGAGATCAAGGGATTTCATTTAGACCCATAAACATCTGCCTCATGGACTCCCATAACAGAGGGCTTGATTTTTAGGCCAGGAGACAGGGTGGCAAAAGTCTTAATGCAAGAGCCAAATTCGGTCACAGAGTTAAGTACGAGTAAGCCCATTGCTTTTGGACCAGAGGTCACATTAATTGCAGCCGGATTGGCCAACAACCAGGTTGTGTTGGGGTTACTGATGAATAATTTCTGTTTATTAATAATGTTAATACTTTCACAACTGTCCCTGTTTTTTGGGTGTGCCTGAAGTAAAATCACTACCAGAATAATTCTTTTGTAATTTTTCAGTAATTCCTCTTGACAACCCCTTCTCAAGTGTATCCCAGATTGCCGTCCATTAATTTTTTGCATTCCATACTATCTAATGGAAGCCACTGAAAATCAAATTGGCCCCTATCTGTGTAGCCTCATCCTGATTCCTGTTAATTGCATGGCATAGGAATTGCACAGCATGGATTCTGCTCTGCTATGCTGTGACAGGAAACACAGAAGTGGCTTTTATGCAGATTGATAGCTTCAATAAAACCCTACATTTGTTATTTGTTATTGCCTTTTTTTCACCCCTTTGTGTGTGCGTGTGTGCGTGTGTGTTTGTCCTGCCTTCCCTCCTCCGTATTTTTATTGCTTCACATTCACTTTTGCTTTGGGGCTGTTGGAAGGAGAACAACAGATAGCTTAATTAGATAGGCCAACCATGTACGATGCCAACAGCTGCCTTGATGATTTGCCAGGAGTCCAACAGCTCTGTTTTTATAGGAATTTGCGTAAATGTTATAAACAATAAATAAATCTGGATGTGAACATATGGCAGCAAAACAGCAATTGCTATGCTAAAGAAAAGGTGTGTGAGGGAGTTAAACAACTCCCTCACCCACCTTTTCCCTTGAGGTGTGAAAGTGCCCTTGAGGGTGAAAGTGAGTGACAGCTACTTCACAACACTCTGAAATAGGAGAGGACACAAATTGAACCCAAAATGCAATGATAAAAACATTCTGTTTAGTTCCTATTTTCAGCAGAAAATCCTTAATAAGGAATGCAGTTGTTAGGTTATGTAAAAGTCTAAGATAATGCTAAGTTTATTTCTTTTGGAGTATGAAAAACACCACAGCTGGATTCAGACAATGCAACAGGCCATGATGGATTTTTTTTTTAACCTCTGTTGGTCTGGTGTATTGTCTGAATGCAGTCATTGTACTTCGCCATGGTAAGTTTGGTCTTTAGAAACCATGATAAGAATGCATGGTTTGTTCTTTGGTTTCCCTGCACCACCACCGCTTGTTGTTCTGTCTGAACCCAGGATTGTGGTTTCTGCTTTCCTGGTATGCAGCTACCACTGGGTCTGCTGGGAAGAGTGGCAATTGCAGAAGCCGCTCCTGCCACCCAGCCTCCACATGTGGACCAAAGAAGAAGAGGGAGGTGACATACGTAGTGGGTGATGTGCCTTGGGACTGAATTTCCGACAGGGAATTTCGCAACAGTGGGAAGACTGAACAGGGAGGAAGGCTCAATAATGGAAAAACCAATTGATCATCTGTCGGGTACAGCATGCTAAAAAACTGTGAACTGTAGTAATCATGCAGGGTTGTTTGTCGTGTGTGAATGCTGCTCACGTATACTTTATCACCACAAAGGAATGCATTTTGTGGTTTAACTTAATGAACTGACAGTAAAACATGAATACTTCTAGAATTCATATTTTTGTGGCTAAACTGTAGAATTATGGTGCATAGGAAATTTCCAAGAATGAATAATTTCCAGAGAGCTTGTTGCTAAGAGGCAGCTTTAAACAGATTAAATAAATAAATAAATAAATAAATAAATAAATAAAATGTGCTCTTTTAGGTAATCTGAAGTTATCTATGACCTGAGACTAAAATTAACTATATTTATTAAGCCTTACTCCAATATTTCAATCATTATTCAGTTTTATCTTTACAACCCTTTAAAGTAGGTTAAGTTGAGAAATAGGCCCATGATGTTGATTGTTATAGGCCCATGATGGCTCTGAGTTTTGAGAATCCTTGGGTGAGGAGAGTGTAGGGGTACAGGAGGCATTCATACATTTCAATGTAAACTTACCGGATTGCACAACTCAAACTGATATATGAACCAAAACTCAATTATTGTTCCGAATGTGTACGTCTCCAAATTTTGCAATGAAGCACTCCAGTTCAAAACTGTGTATAAACTATATACATTACAGACAACTCCACTTAATAACTTGTATCTTTTCCTAAAATAATGTTCAAAATGCATTGTACTAGTATAACTGCTCACTAAAATGTTGTATATTAGTTCAAATCTATCTATCTATCTATCTATCTATGGATGTTCATGGATTTTGAAAATCTTAACATTTCAAATGAACGACATTTAATATTTATTTATTTAGAACATTTCTATGCCTCCCCATTCGCAAAAAGCCTTGGGACGGCTTACAAAATAAACAAACAATCATATAATTAACCTTAAAAGTCCGGAAACATCTCGGCACAAGTATAAAACCGAATAAATACAATAAATAATTAACAATTAAAATAACTTTTAAATAAAAAGGTCTTGGCCTGGCGCCGAAAATCAAATAATGACGGCGCCAGGCGGATCTCTCTGGGGAGTGCATTCCATAGGTGGGGTGCCACCGCAGAGAAGGCCCTCCTCCAGGTACTCATCTTCCTAATATCTTTCACAGAGGGTTCCCGGAGAAGGGTCTCTGCCACCGATCTCAAGGGGCAGGAGGGCATATATGGACGCAAGCGCTCCTTTAGATAACCATTTTTTTCCATATTGGAAAAATGGAGGATGAGGGAGAACAAGATCAACACATATGTCCCTCCTTACCTGAGTGCTTCCTCCTCTCTTCACCACTGTCCAGTTGATTACATTTGTTCTCTGGATCGAGTCTGCACAGCAGCTCAGAGGGAGAGCCAGACAGATGCTGCTTCTCATTTTTCTTGTCTGCTCACTCAGCTAGGCAGAAGGCAAGTGAGGGGTGGGCAGCAACAGGAAGCAGGAGGGCTAAGAGGTCCTTGGGCTTCCAGGAGTTGGGAGCGGAGGACCCTTACCAAGGCATGGACTATGTGGACCCCCCTTGACGCTGCCCCCGTGGCCATTCCTGCCCAGGGATCACTAACATCAGAGGTGGATAAGGATTTGAACTCAGCTCTCAGCTCTGCTCTGTCCAGATTAGTTGAAATCATACAATTAGTTGAAATCATACAATTAGTTAAAATCATACAACTATGTTAGGTTCGACAAATTTAAAATAAATAAATACATTTGTCTTTGTTATTAATATTTTTAATCAAATTTATAAGTGTGTTCTTTCTTCATAGGCCCCCATCCATGGCCTGAAAAAGCAAAGAAATTTATGCAAGTTTTTCTTAGAAGCATAACCTGAAATATCTTAGGAACATCTCCTGAAATTGAAAGAAATTAGTTGTCATGTAATCCTCTTCTCTTCTCTTTTGACTTTTATTAAATCATTTTCATCTAAGGATATCATCAATGTCTATGGTAGTAACAGAAGACAAATATGCAAATGCATTTCTAAAAAGCCTTAACAAAGGAGTCAATATAGTTTCAAAAATAAACCTAAAATAGGTTCTCCCTTTTCTCTCATAGTCTCCCAGCAAGGGGAAAACCAAAGGCGGCTCTACAGAGAACTACTGAAAAACTACAATCGCTTGGAACGGCCTGTAGCGAATGACTCACAACCCCTTGTAGTAGAGCTGCAACTCTCCTTGCTCCAGATAATTGACGTGGTAAGTTGGCCATAATTCAGCTACCCCTTCCTGAATAGTTCTTAAGCAAAATGGATTTTAAATCAGTGCTGCAGAGCACTTCTCCAGTGATAATGCCGGTGAGCACAGCTCTCTTTCAAGACCAGTTGAAACAGAGAATTATCCAAGAGCACATTTTTAGCAGCCCTGTTGTACTACTATCAGAATAGATAAAATTCTGATAATGATTTAGATTTGCTCTTGGATAATGATAGATTTGCTCTTGTCTGTACAGTCCTCTTTAAGTCTGGAGCGGGTCTGTAATTATGTTAAGCTAATTATTCCATAGATAATATTTCTTGAAAAGACAGTCCCATGTGATTGGGTCAATATTTCACCATGAATTTGAAGCAACTTAGATTGTAAAACAGGCGGGAAACGTAGATGTTGCTGGACTACAAATCCCATAACCCCAACCATTGGTCATGCTGGCTAGACCTGATGGGAGTTGTCATCCAACAGCAGCTAGGGAGCTACAGGTTTTGTAGACCTGTCAAAATCTGACCATATGAGAATAATTTAGAAAGTAGCAACACAGACCTTGTTTTATTTTAAAACACACATTTTGTTTTATTTCCAAAAGAAGAAAAAGTGCACCTCCAAAATAAAAACATGGCAAATTTTCGTGCCGAAAATTTCAAGAGTCTTCTCTGTTTCATGCCAAGTGGGTCTTTGTACTGTAAAGCTGAACCATATGAGAATTACATATGGATAATTTTGCCTGCCCAAAATGGTTTTGTCAATTTGTCTCTAATTAAGCATGGAATCTTTGTGGCTGGGCAGCAGTTGTTCTGTTTTAATCCAAAGTACAAGGAGTCAACCTGGATATGTGGGGACTGACTTTGGTTTTCATGTTATTTAGGTGGTCATTTCTCCCTCCTTCCTACACACTGAATTTGGAATGGCTCTAACCCCCAACACCCATTAGAATTAATTGAGTGGACACCTGCTGATCCGGATGTCTCGAAATTAATTCAACTATGTTTCTGAATTGATTTGGAATCGGCAAACTCTCTGGTGTTGTCATTAGGACTCTGAAACTCACGTCCCTCTTGACTGGATTGGACTCTTCTGCCGTGTCATGCCTGCATGGCATCCTGCAAGGAGGGTCCTTGGCAAAGAAGGCCTGTCTTTGGTCCTGGTTCAGATCATCCCATCATTGGTCAGGAGGGGAAGCCTCTGGGGCAACATGCACTCCTAATTGTATGTAATCATATGACCAGGAACGTACAGAAATTGGGTTGGCACTCAGACATCACCAAAAGCCAAAGCACAGAGTTGCATAAAATGTGACTGTGCTCATTGATATGTGTAGGTGCACCTTTGGAATCCATGGGTGTTATTTAAATAGAAATGCAGCACATTTCACTGCAGTGAGGAAGAGAACAGGGTCTGAGGTCATCTTCAAGGCCCTGCGCTCCATTCTTTAAGTTTAAATTGGAGGTGGACTGGACAGCTCTTTGAAGAGAGGGCTCCTCCAAACAGAAGAAGGTCCTCTGAAAGTCCTCAAATAGAGGACTGTACTTTACAGGGCATGTGGCCACTCTAAGCAGAAGCTTAGAGATCTCCAAGCTTTTGGCGCCTCTCCTGACACACATCAGGTTCTTAGCTGTTGGCCTTGCCTCTCTGTAGTGTCATCTGAGGAGTCGGGGGAAGTGTGAGACTAGATGGACCTTTCATCTGACCCAAGATAGCTTCTCCTGTATGCTTATGCTAGAGGTACCATGAGTTCTTACACGTCTACGCCTTGGCATCGTTTTACCGATGTCATGGGATCATGCAAGGCCAAGAGGCTCCTTGAACTTTCCATTCCCATTTCAAAGTCTAATCTTCATGTGGCTTCCAGAGCAGTCCCCTGGTGGGCAGTCCCAGACCCGGTTCAGATCATCCCATCAGTGGCGAGAATGTTGCCAACGGTTTAGACAATAATTACAGCTTGTAAAGCTCAGGGCATGCCTTGATGATCATTGTGGATCCTCCGTAGCTTGCCAGAATGTTCAACCAACAGAGTGGAAAATCAAATGTCCTTAGAAGAGACAGGTGCTTATTCTGACATCTGTTCTGTGCTTACAATGGAATCCCGCAATGCAGTCTGCACAGCTTTCATGGATACACACTTTCTCCTGTCACCTTCAGGAAGCAGTGTGTGTGTGGCATGTCCTGAAGACAGACCCCTGTGAGGATCAGAAACATGGCATGCACTTTACTGGTCTCCCATATTAGACCTTTCTGTACACACCATCAGTTGCTACCATGCTCTTATGGAAAGAAGCTGCCCTAATTATTTGATTTCAGTTGCAATTTGTATGTGCCTGAATTCTGTCTGTTTACCAGACTGTTTTCTAATTGTAACTGAGGACCAGAGGGGCTTGGATTAGGTGTTTCCCAGAATGTTAACACATGGTTTTGTCACTTTGGAATACTAAATGTGACTCTGAAATGTGCAGATGTCCCTGATGTTTCACAAGTAATTTGTTGATTAATTATAAAGCTTTTTAACAATTTTACGCTGCAGCATCTTGTATATTGGAGGAAATTATGAGCCATGTGCTCCTATAAATGATTCATCAGATGCTGTTCTCCAAGTTTGCTGCAAAGCTGTAATGATGGCTTGTGTACACAGTTCGCCTTGCAGATGTGTGGGTGGTTTAGGTAGCTTGCTGGAAGTCCTCTGATGGCAACATAAGACCAATATGTCGTGAGTGATTGTTTTTTTTAACAAAGGAGCTGATTTATGAAATCAGAGCCACTTTATCTTGGTGTATGGCAATTGTGAAAGACCCTCTGTTAAGTTCCCTTCATTTAAGAACATCCTGGCATGAGTACAGAGTATTTCTTAATTCTGAAACACCCCAGCATTCTTAGGAGGGTTGAGCAGGTTTATAATTATGATTAAAGCAGACAATTACCTTTTGATTATTAGCATTTTAAAGAATAAAACTTTCTCAACTGGTTCATAAAATAAAACTTAAAACCACACAGCATTAAAATATAATAAAATGTGATGCAAAGATTTAACAAAGTTTATTTTAAAAAAACCCATAACAATATCAAACTAAAAATCAAGGTAGAAAACAGCAGGACTGCAAGATCTAAAAAGCATGAACATAATTTTAAAAACTGAATAACTAAAAAGCCTGGAATTTAAAAAGATCTTTACTTGGCATTGAAAAGACTAACATAGCCTCTACGAGAGCCTCCCTTTGAGGGCATTCTGCAGCTAGGATGTTACCACTGAAAAGGCCTTCTTTTAAAGAGTCTTCCTACCTACCTCATTTGACAGGAGCACCCGGAGGTAAGCCTCTAAAATGATTATTTTAAGACAATAAAATATGGGAGGACATGCTCTTTCAGCTGGCCTTCCCTTAGGCTGTATTTATTTATTCAAGCTTTTCATTTCCCAACCTTTTCCCAATGCAGGAACACAGGACAACCAACAATACAAACACCAAAACAACTCATGAGCATATAAATATAATATAAGCATCTTTCACATCACAGTACCTTAAAGTGCAGCAAAGCAGCAGAGATAACTTTTGCTAGGAACACTTCAAAAGTTAGTACCAGCATCTTGCATTTGGCCCAGACACAGGCTGGAAGGCAGGGCGGATCACCACGTACTGGTGCAATATGCTCACATAGGCCAGTCCCTGTGAACAGTCTTGCCCTGTTTTGCTCTAGTAGAAGGTTCCAGACCATTTTCAAAGAGGGCCCCATGTATAATATGTTGAAATAATCAAACCTCTTAATCATTCTTAAGCATTTACCTCTTTCAGTGAATCAAATTACATTTTGGAAAAGTCAGGGGGAGCAATGTTGTGATATGTGTTAATATTTTTAGGAAGCTCGTAGCTTTTAGTTTCTAGACCCTGGGTGGGGAGACCCTCTATGTTCAATTTGCCTAGGCTTTGGAGCTAGGCAGTCTCCTGTATAGTTCTCTAGGAGTTTATCTGCTTTCCTGTAGATGTCAAAAAAGAAGTTGTTCAGAGTCAGAAACTTATTACTTGGTGATCGAGTCCTAAAAGTGGTTTGTGAGTGGAGTAGGAATGTTCACTCTACATTAACCATGCCCAAAGGTCATTGCATGGTGTCAAATGTGGATTGATGTTCTCACAAAAAAACTTGGAGAAGGTTTTTGCATGCAACCCATATTTAATGGGAGGAGGGAGCATTTTAAACCTCCTACTTAGCTGAGCTTTCCTGGGAACCTCGGAGAAAATGGAAAGAGAGACAGCAAGTGTATCTGACAGTTACAAAAGCAGTAAAAATGCTACAACATTGTTGTGATGCGGTATTGCCAAGGAGAAAAGGCTTTAGAAATGTATGATGATATACCTAATACTTGTGCAGACCCTGAAAGCAGTGCATGGACAGAAGCCCTCATTGCACCCAGAAATTATTGTAAGCTCAGAAGAAACCCTGTTTCCCAACTTTCTTACACTGAAGAAGCAGCCGCACAGCACTATGTCACAGCACTTAGAGAAAAATATCAGCAGTGTGAATTTGCAGCCTCTGCAAATCTAATGCTCAATGACAAAATAGTCTTCAGCATTTCAGGCTGGAAGCTCTGTGAGAAATTCTTGGAAACCCCAATTTGACTAGAACAAGCAATCATTTACAGAGCAAAGGCCCCTGGTGGGGGCCAGGCAGCAGCAGTGACCCTGGAAAACATCTTTGCCATTCAGCACAAGTCACAGAAACTATCAGGAAAGGAAAAAAGACCCTGGGGCAATCTTCTGCAGCAGGAAACCTGTAGCTGCAAACAGCAATTTTTGCAGTAGATGGGGACATGTCTGCAGGCCCAGGCAGTGTCCAGCTCTTGGAGAAACCTGCAACGTGTGTGCATGACAGAATCATTTCAGTGGAATGTACAGGTCTTCTCATCTCGCCCCAGAAATCAATGTCCTAATTATGGGAGTGAGGACTAAGTGTTGTCAAGTCAAGCGCACAGAAAGGTACAGCACAGTCATTGTATGTGACTT